AGAAAAGAATTAAAAAAACTGACGTGCATGCATACATATAATTGAATAGGAAAATAATAAAAAAAACAACCTTTCTATATGAAAAAAGACATCAAATTTATCGAAACAGAAAATGACCCATGTATTGTAAGAATGTAAAAGACAAAAGAAGAGGAAGAACCTTAAGAGAAACAGAGAGAAGAAAGAGAAACTAAGATAGAAGGGTGGTTTCCTCCATTTTTTTTCTTTGATCGGTTTGTAAGAGAGAAAGAGAGAGAGGTGATCGTATGGGTGATATTGGAATCGAGTGAATAGAAATGAGGATGAGAGAAAAGCGTGATGCGCACTTAGTCTTCAGATAACCCGCGAACACTGCCGATTGCAAATGTGAATAAGACAGAATGAAAGAGAGAAGAGAAATTTAAATTAGATTAAAACTCTGGACTTTTTTTTAATAATAATAATAAATAAATGAGTTTTTTTGCCATTAAATTAAATTATCTATTTATTAAATGAATAAAAACACAACATTGGTAATTCGGTGTATTGCTTTTCTTCCTTATTTATTAATACCTTTTTGCTAATGAGGCAATTTTTTTAGGTTTATCTATAATATCTTTATTTATAAAATAATAAATAAAATAATTTATTTCTGCATTCAGTAAAATTCTATTGTTAACAAAAGATAAGAATAGTAACTAATGTTTGTAAGCATGACTAAAATTATTTATTGTTTCCTGAAAATTTTTATTAAATATAATTAATCTCATTGTAGATTAAGAAATTGAGCTTTAATACAATATTAGTATGATCTAATTCTTATTTTACTTCTGTATAATATTTTTCTCAATTTATATGTACTGCTATTTAATTTTATTCGTTATTATAAACAGTAAATATTTTTTTTGTTAAAATAGTGAAATAAATTCAAAATGCTACATAAAAATATAGTTTTTTTTTATTTATTTGAAAAAAATAATTATTTATTAGTTTTAATATAATCATGGGTACCAACATAATGGAACTTAAAAAAACTGCAAGCGAGAGTTGGTAATTCCATGAAAGACAATGGTATGAAATTTAAGCAACTAAACAGAGATTCCTGCAAAACGCCATTTAAATTCAAGTAGTAATGAGAACATAACAATCTCCCTTCTTCCTCTTAACACGATCTCAATAACATACAAAAAATGGTTTTATAAAACGAAGTAAATCGAGAAACTCAGTCCATGAACATAAATTACACTCAATGAAGTCTTACATCTTAGAAAAGCAGAACCAATCCACCCGAGACTGCCAAAACCAGCTGACTCCAAATGCTCAAGCTCAACCCCACAATCCTACACGAAGACGAGTTCGAAGGCAAAGACTTCGAAGAAGAACCGCCTTCTTTCGAATCTGCCGACGGAGCATCCGCTGCAGGGCTAATATCAGGAGCAGGAGCTGGTGCTGGCATAGGAGGTATATCGGTACCAAAGATAGCCTCAGGAAGAAGGACCTTATCGACTTGATATATCGCGACGGGATCGGTCGAATGTACGGCGCTGGTGACTTTTGTTCTGCTCCACCCCGAATCGAGGTGCACGGTGCCGGAATCATCGGTGAAATTCAAAGTGTATTGGCCACCAGCAAGTGTACTTACAGGGCTTTTTGTACTGAGCTCATTGAAGTCGGCAAGGGCATAGTACTTGGGCAAGGCATGGAAAAGGATGAGTGATTTAAGCTGGTCATTGCTGAGATTGGACAATGATGACTTCTTAAGACCCTTGAATGAACTGTCTTTGGGCACAAAAATCGTAATGCCTTGTTCAGTGTTGTTGGCTTGGTTTTGGAAGGTGTCAATGAGTTTAGTTGATTCAAGGTAATTAAGGAATGTGTGAAACGGACCGGCCACGGAGAGCAAATAAGTGAGGTTTACATATTCCGGTGCTGGAGCCGGCGCTGGTGTCGGAGTTGGGGTCATTGCAACCGGAGCTGGAGGAGTAGCTTTTTGCCCATATGTGAAAGAGGAGCAAAGGAGCAATGCAGAAGAAATAATCAAAAAAGTCCTGGGAAACTGCATTTTTCCCCCCAGAAATTTTGTTCTGCTTCAATGAACACTCCTAATTCCTACAAGAATAAACCCTTCACGGTTATTGCAGCTAAATGGCAAAAAATATACAATAACTCTACATTATGAACAAAAAAGTAACATAAAAAACCCTAAGATCAAAACCCCATTTGCTACTCCAGATCAGAATCTAAGAGTTCCATCTTATGTATGAAAACAAGGAATTCAGTCTAAATTAAACCAAACTCGCCAACTTTCTTTCAAGATGGAGACTAATGAAAAATCAGATCTTGACTAACTCGCCCAGAAAAAGCTAACCATAGAGGTTAAAACAGGATCTATAACAGTGCATTTACATATGATGGCATTGAAATGTAAATATCAAATGAAAAAAAAATTGAACCATTTTTCAGTTCTTGAGCTCCTTCAGATAAAGTACAGCTAACCAAATTCCCAAATAATCAAATTTCAGAACAAAACCCCAGATCGAATCTAATATACACTTTGCATTTGAATTCAAACTGGAAGTTCCCAGAAAAGCCAAGTAACTTCCTCAACAACCAAAAAGAAGGAAAAAGAGGAAAGAAAGGAAACTACAGTCGCACAATGTACGCCGATAAAAAGCAAAACAAAGAAAAGATCTAGAATTAACATGAATCTTGAACCAACATGAAAGAATGCAGCTTTAAAAAAAGCAAATTTGAATGAGAGCGGACAAGTGAAGGACAAGAACCTGACTAAGGAGGAATTCAGAGAGAAAGCTCAGAGCTTTGGAATTAGGCTGCCAATACTGCAGATTGGAACAAGCTGAGACAGACTATATAAATAAGAGAGCTTTTGCTTGTAAAAGTAAAACATACAAATTTTAAAGAAGACAAAGCGAACGTGGGCCTATGGCAATGGCAATGACATTGACATGCATCACTTATGCTATTTAAATGGGGGTGTAATCGTGTAGGCCTAATTTAATATCACTTTGGTATGGATTTCGTGGTTAAATATGATGTTTTATTGTAAATATGATAATAAATGGGTACAAAATTTTAATTTTTTAATTGAAATTATGTTTTTGGTAATCTAAATTAAAACTTTAAGAAATAACTTTATCATTTCCGTTGCTTTTAGATATTTTAAACATATAACAATTAAATTTTTTAAATCATATTAACTCTCAGATTTGAGCATTGATGTTATAAATTGAACAAATTAGAATGAAGAAAATTTATATTTTTAAGGGTGCAAATTAAGGATGATTATAGGTAGGGTAAAATTGGATTTTTGACTCACTTGAATTTGATTTGAAAATAACACCTCTCCACATGTCATCTGATTCGAGTTTAGGAAAATTTCACCCGACTTGAGAACCAACTTGATTTTCAAGATAAAAACAAATACTTGCATTCGACCTAACTCGACCAAAACATATGTTAATTTCTATTAAGTAAAATAGGAACCTAATTGAAGAAAATATAGAGAGATGTATTATAGCAATTATTCATAAATATATAAATATAAATTGTATTATTATTTTGATTGAACCGATCGAATATTTTCATCCTAAATCTAAATTCAACTTGATTTTATCATTCAAAAAACTCAACTTAACCCTATTTAAATATAAATTTTAAGAAAAATAATCTTATAAAATTGAGACAAATCAAAATTTATAAAGTCGAAGAAATGTATATGATTAATGCAGATTGAATGAGAATGGGATGGTATTTCCTTAAAGGGAAATTAATGTATTTTTTCTTTTTAAAAGTTAGCAACTGTTTCAAGGAAAGAGGACATGTAAGGTAGGCTTTCTTAATCACTAGTTAATTTTCTAATCCTCTAAGACGCCAACCATCGTGCTCCTCACCATGTATTTTTTTCATCACCAAAGATTCTCATACGATCTTCATAATGTTTAAATATTAGATGCAGTGACACAGTTAATGCTTTGTTTTAAGACATGATGAATTCTTGCACACGAGCCTTTTAGTTGGGTAATTAAAGCCATGGTTTGATTTAAATCAACATCAAGGATTAATTATCAAACTAGTCTATTTGATCATCGACACCCACTTGCATTCATGTCATCATGAATCTCAATCAACAAATTAGTTAGAGAAATGTGTAGATGCCAAGGCTTAATCAATGGGTTATGCTTGTTTAAGTTGATCTACAAGCTATGCATCATTTCATTTAGCATTTGTAATGCTCCCAAAGAGAGAAAACAATGATAATGGAGGAAATGCATGGATTCGTGGAAGCTTCTATGAATATTTAGTTGGTGAATGGAGGAGGGGAGTTGAGAGGTAAGCATCGAAATTGGCTGTCATTGCCCTTTCAACCTCATCTCTTGCTTCAATATTCCGGCCCTTTGACTCTTTGCTTCATTTTATATATATACTCGTGTATTTGTATTTTGTTTTTCTTATAGATTGAAGTAAAATGTACGGTATCCTACCAACTATTGATTACTTTATTAGAATGAAACGAGTCGAGTCTTGGTCTCACATCCATCCCTAGTAATATCATAAATATATGAATTTGAATTTTAACGTTATAAATGGAATAACTTGAATCATATTAAAGTAAGTTTGATGATGCTTAAGCGTATGATAGCCTCAAACCTATTTAAATTATCAAATATTTATTTAAAATAATAAAATATATAATTTTATATTAATATCAATATATTGTATACTAAATTTCAATATAAAATATATTTTAAATTATTTAGCTTTTATGTGGATCAAATGAGGTCAACCCGTAGAGTGAAAACCTTTACTCAAACCCGGCCCAAGTTTCGACTTAGCGACTTCAATATTAATGATGGGATCCATTGAGCAGTGGTTAATTTATATGCTTTTGATGGCACTAAGCATTGACCGTTGGTTTAATTTCTAAACTTTTGACTTTTACTCCATAATCAATGGCACAAACAATGTCAGGAACACTTTGAAGAATTGAAGAAGAAATCATCTAGAATTGTCTCAAACAACAATAAAGGAGATGGTTAAGATAATAGGGAAACTAGCAGTTAAAAACAAAAATTGTCTTCAAGGGAGACATGTTTAAAATCAATAGCTGAAAAATATAACGGCATAAGAACATCGATCATCATCGAGTTGTGTCTTTAATCCTTCTAGCCCCAGTCTTTACGGATGTCGAATGTATAGTTGATCTCCAAGTGGCACTTGTTATCATCATCAATGAACTGGCGAGAACAGTTTCATAAAACCATGTAACAGAACACTACAAATGTATGTAATAAAACTTAGTTTGATTTTCAAACCTTTGATTTTGCAGTATATGATCCTCTAGCCATGAAGCCAGAAGGGGCAGTCTCTTCTGGCATTTCATGCGTGTAGGGATCTGGTTGAGGACTAAAAGTTCCGATCATGTCTTTTGTGCTGAAAACTGAAGAACAGATTCATTTTAGGAAGATTTTGTTTTTTGAAGTGTATTTTTTTTTTCTTTTTGGAAGAATTAAGAGGCTTACCCCTGAGACCTGATTTCCATACAGTATTGGTGTACCTGAGACCAGATACGATGTTGTTGCCGACTTGGAAGGAGAATTTCAATCGATAATGGCTACCTTCTTTCAGTGTAAACCATAAGCCCTGTGGATTTCCATCTTCTGGAATTGAAAGGACTATGTCTGGCTCTGGCCTCTCCGGTGACACGATCGCCACGATGAGAAACTTTACTTCAGGATCAAGTGTTTCTGCAGGGAAATTACATATTCAATTCTATCCATTTTCATTCATATGAATGCAGATATTTTGGATTAAAGCGGTACCTCCAATGTTGTTAATATCCACACCTCCAAGAATCTGTTCTTTCCACTTCCTTAAGCTCTCATCATCCTACAAAGGAGGGATTCAATTCATGCAAATAGGAGTTAATGGAATCCATTGGAAACAAAGACGATACCTTATCTTTTTCAAGCTGTTCTTTGAGAGTGCGCTGAGGACCCAAATGAAGCGTGCTTTCATCATCGTCCTGATCAGTGGTATAGAAAGAGGATTCACCGTCGCTTTCTTGAGGACCATCCTTCTCCTTGTTCTTTTTGTCATCGTCTAACCCCATATTCACCGGCAAAAAATCTCCCAAAGAGCAAAAACAAATCAACTCATCAACAGTGGAGAGATTCAGTTTCGACCCTTCATTTATTCTGAGACAAAAGTGGTAGCTAGAGAACAAAGGCGTAGGAAGTGTGTTTAGGTTAAACAAAAGAGAGAAAGAATGGTCCTTTGTCTGGTAGCTGGGGATGTTCAAAATGGAGGGGAGGGAAAGCCGCAAAGAGAGTAGGGCGGGGGTTTGGTCCAGTCTTGGAAGGGTAAAAATTTCAAATGGAACATGGTCATTTGGTGATCCGAACCTCAAGAGATACTTATTAATCCTCTATTTTATTTATTTATTATAAATTTACTCGGTAATGGTAAATCATATGAAAAATACACTATTAGTAAATTATAATATGCTACTGCAATTAGCCGCTAACTCGGTTGCAATTAGAGTAGCATGCATTAAGGAAGACTTGTGCGGGCGAAATCTTGAAGGATTTGGACGATATTAAAACTGCTTATATTGAAGAATTGATTTTATTTTGTAGCTATGAGTGGATATGTTTGTTCTACGAGAGGAACATTCTTAAATAATTTCTAATGTATTTTCTCTTTATTTTGCATTCGCACGGTAAGATTTCGTGTTAAAGATAATGCAGATCGGACTTTAAGTTGTTAATGCCAGCCGAGCCTACAACTGTAAATGGACCACCAATGAGTTTGTATCAGCTAGCCTGATTGGTTAGTTAGCCGAATCGCTAGTCTGTTAGCAATTTGGGTTTTAAATATCTTGTATCCAGCTTTAACCCTTGTAGATTTCTAACCCATATATCGATTTTGAAGTTCAGAACCCATTTATTTTCTGGTAGTTAAACACCTTTCCAAACCCTAATCCTATTTTTCATCGTCACACACTGACCGACCATCGGTCGTTCAAAGATGCTATCGGTTTCACGTTTAGTGAGCGTGAATTTTCATTGTAATCAAAGAAGTATAAAGTTATAACGTTAGGAATATTAATTAGATCCAAATCATAGCTTGTACTGTGAAAATTTTACTGGTTTTCTCACTGATAAACTCTTACAAACGTGGAGTGATTTAAATTAGGTAATCATCTCATTGTACTAATAATTAAGATTGTCTTTGTTTCGAAACCCGGCAAGTGACCTCAATGATTAGAGTAAGTATTATTTTTCCTAGAGATCCTAAGTTTAAGCAGCTACATATGCAAATATATACATTGTCAATGGTTAAGAATGTCTCAAACAAATACTACTTTAATTATCTTTAAACCATTAAAAAAATTGACATTGTTTCTACCACTTATTATAATTTGTCTACAATCATTGGATACGCTCAGATTATATATTATTAATGTATTAAATATAAAATTATAATTTAATTTATATCTCTTAAACAATTTTTAATATGAATTTGATAAAAAAAATTAAAAAACATACATTAGATTCATATTCAAGAGATTAAAAAGAAAAACTTTATAATTTTAGGGTTCAACGGTCATTAGCGACAATTGAAGACAAGAGATTTTGATCGGATAAACAGTTAAATTAATATTTTATCTAAATTTTAAATCTTAAATTAATATTTTATATAAAGTTAAGAGATTAAATTAAAAATAACTTATTTTATTAATGTATCAGGTCATCAAACTAATTGTAGACACCCGTTTTTGTCCGGGTTTTTTTTTATCGTTATTTTATTATTATTATTATTATTTATTATTATTATGTTTATTAATTACATATTACATATTTTACAGGCCAAAGCCCAATACAACAGGGCCCAACCGAGGCCCAACCAATACCCATCACTCAGCAGCCCGATTGCAAACCCTAACCTTAGGGTATCAACATCCCAGCGCCGCACCAACATAGACCATTCGATCTGGACCCATTCAACGGTCCAGATCGATGGTAAATAGGGTTTCACAACCCTAAACCAATCCAGCCGTCGTGCATCTTCAACGTTCCAGTAGCCGTTCAAGCCAACAGCCATCAAGCCACTGCCGCCAGTGAGTTCCAGTCGACGAGCCATCGTCGAAAGCTTCCCGAGCCGATCAGAGCCCATCCCTCAAGCAGTCAACAGTGACAACATACCAAATCAATCAGCAAATCAGAGAAAAAACCCAAAAAAAAAAATAAATCTAAATAAAAAATCCCTATAATCCCGAAAATCCGGGATTCAATCACCCTAAATCAACAACCCCTAATTTCCCTAAGCCTTAGGTACCATTATCACCGAAAGAACCCTTAAAAATCCAACAGGGCAACCATAATGGGGGGGGTCATTCGGTTGGTAAAAAGAAAAAAACAGAGAGGTGGGAGGGGGTTTTGAGAGAAAAAAAAAAGAAATTCCATTGGGAAAAAAAAGAAAGAAAGAAAGAAAACTAAGAGAGAAAGAAAAGGGCGAAGCCCTTACCTCGGTTCAAGGTCATTCCAGTGGCTGCCGGAGTCGAAGAAACCGTAGGTTCCATTGTAGATCTACGGAGTTTGAGCCGTTTCAGGCCAAACGGATCCCCGATCCATGCTCAGGGTGAAAGGGTGCTTCGAATGATGCCTTCCTCTCTTCTCTTCGACGTCAGTGAACGGCGGTGGCCGCCGACGAGAGGCGGCCGGCACGGTGGAGACTCCACCGGTTTCTGGATCTCCTCTCTCTCTGTCTCTTACTCTCTCTCTTCTTTAGGTTAAAATGAAACAAATGAAAAAAACTATCCTATTTAGCTTAAATGAAACATATAAGCAAAACGACGCCGTTCAGGGGTTCAGGGTATGCGTTTCAGCATGAAAGGGTAAATAGCCCATTTGGTCCCCATATGTTCTTAATCTTCCCCGTGTTTCTCATTTTTAGGGTAAATCGCACTATAGGTCCCCATATATTTGTAACGTTCTGTTGTAGCCATTAAATGAAGTTTCATTTACTTGATTTCAGATTTTGATGTTTCCTTATTTATGTTTAGTCCTTTTTATATTTGTTAAGTTATTTTGTTAATTTGACATTAGTCACTATATTTGTAATATATTATTTTAGCCATTGGCTTGTGTATGGCTTAATTCCTATTTAGTCTTTTAGGTTTCAGTTTTTCTATTTGAGTCTCCTTTTTATTCTTGTTATATTTTCGTCCTAACATATGTGTTGATGTTTATGATAATTTTTATATCAGGCCTGGAACTTGTGAAATGTTTATTTCAGTCCTTAAATTTTCTGTAATGTTAGTTTGGTTTTATGCCTATTCAGGTTTATTGATTTGTGATTAATTTTATTTTGATCATTGTATGTATATTAATGGAATTTATTAACATTTATGTTTTAGTCTTTAAACTGGGTTGCCTTCTATTTTAGTCCATCTTTGTTCTTAGTTTTTATTTTCGATGAGGTTTATGATTTTGGTCATCTGTTTGCTTCCTTTTCATTTCGGTCCTTATGTTGGCTTGTGGGTTCGATTGGGTTAATGTTTGATTTAGGCTTAAATTTTCTTTTTGGTTCATTTTAGTCACTGTTTTAGTTCATTGTATATTTTTATGTGGTATTCGAATCTGGCCATCCCATTTTTAAATATTTTATTTTAGTCCTATTAATGTATGTTATGTCATTTTTGTGAATATTTGACTTTTAGACATTATGTTTGTATAGTTTCAGTCTAGTCCTAAGTTCTTGTATTGTGATATTTTGTGGATGTTTGAATTCAGCCATCATACTTGCAAATGTTCTATTTGGTCACTGTCTGACATTTTATTTAATTACTATTTGATCCTCCATGTTTCTGTGAAATTTCAATTTAGTCATAAGCTTTACTTTTGGGTTATTTTCACTTCTAGTATTTGACTGTTTAATGTTTGTGATATGGGCTCCAAATTATTTTTATTTTTATTTAGTCCTTTAAATTTCGGTTAGTGCTATTTTTTGGTCCATTAACTTTCTGTTTTTGCTGTTTAGCCTCCTAAGTTTCTGTTATATTATTTTAGCCTCTTAAATGTTTTATATTTATTTTGGTTTGTAATATTTACTAATTTATTTTTAGACATTTATGTATGGATGTGTATTTTACTCATTACTTAATAATTTGGATTATGTAAATAATGTTTTCAATTTCATTTAATGTAAATATTTTATTTTGTATTTCCAATTACATTTATTTTCATTATATCTTTATCTATGTAAGAAATATTCGATTATATTTTCAAGAACACGTATGCGTTGAATGGGCGTGGAAAGTACCACTTGATCGAAGTGGTGTGATCCGGTACGGCATTTTAACGACATAGAAACTTGAAATAAGTCGAGTATATTTTGCTAATTAATTTGTTCAAACGATGCAATGTGTGTTTTTAAGTGACAATTTATTTTATTTTATGTGAATGTAAATTTCAAATTTTTTAATTTGTATTCAATTCACGTTTTTAGTTAATCAATTTACTCGTATGTAAACATCGTTTTTAGTTATATTTGATTCGCAATTTTTTTTTTTTTACATAATCAATGGTAGAATATTCTTTTACAAAAGAGAAATAGTTGAAATAGCTTTCCCGACGGAGGATTGCAAATTTCAAGATTTCTTATCGAGTTAAAGGATTTTCTTTAAATAGTTAACTCGAAGTAAACTAATTAAATTTCAATAAATGGATCGTAATTTAACTTTATATTCGATTTATAGTTTCCACCATTTTACGACAACATGTAAGCGACACAGTACCAGTTTTTGGGCGTTGTGGGGTGCTTACCCTTCCCCGCACGTAATCGACTCCCGAATCCATTTAAATGAATCTTTGGTAACGCAGACCGAATCTTGTCTTAAAAAATGATTTTTCTTAAAATTGTTTTAAAAGACGTTTTTAGGTATTCGACCTACCTAACCCAAAGGTTGATGGCGACTCTATTCAATTTAATCCAAATTAATCCAAATACTCAATTTTTCAAAATAAAGTCATAATCGTTTTAAAATAATATTTAATTGTTTATAAAAATGGTTATGACAGCTTGGCGACTCCGCTGGGACCTCTTTTTAGAGAGTCAAGCTGTAGGTCGCTTACACATTGTCGTCTTAGTGGAAATTATAAGTTCGAGTACATAGTTAACTTATGATCCGTTTATTGAAATTTTTAATTGCTTCATTTTTATTTGACATACTAACCTTTGATTTTTTTTTCTTTTCAGATCGGTCCCAATTTTGTCGTTTTTTCTTTTCTGTTTTGAGTCAAAGGTAGGTACGTTCCTCCTCACACATATCACGTG